CGTCGCGAGAGCTACTTCCTTGTGCTTGTCGACGACTTCACTCGTTACACCACAGTCTTTCCCCTGGAGCGCAAGGCCGACGTGCCTGGCGCTCTCATCCCCTGGCTTGTCTCTGCGCGTGTCCACCGCGGTCTCCCTGTCTTGCGTCTTCACTCCGACCGTGGTGGCGAGTTTGCCTCAGGTGTCCTTGGTCGCTTTTGTCGTGCGGATGGCATCACCCAGACGTTCACCCTGCCGGACTCCCCACAGCAGAATGGGGTCGCTGAGCGACGCATTGGTTTGGTCATGGAGGTGGCTCGCACCTCCATGATCCATGCAGGTGCACCCCATTTTCTGTGGCCGTTCGCTGTGCGCTACGCTTCTCACCAGCTTAACTTGTGGCCGCACCCTCAGCAGCCGCAGCTTTCGCCGACCCGTCTTTGGACAGGGTCTCCTGGTGACGCGTCTGCGTTCCACGTCTGGGGCTGCCTTGCTCACGTCCGTGCCTCCGGCACGGACAAGCTCACTGCCCGCACCCTTCCCTGCATCTTCCTCGGTTTTCCCCTTGACGCGTCCGACTGGCACTTTTACCACCCGCCGTCTCACTGCTTCTTTCACTCTCGCGACGTCACCTTTGACGAGTCCGTCTCTTACTACCGTCGCTTCCCCCACCGCGGTCCCCCGGTTACCCCCCCCCTGTTCCTGGTCACTCCTTCCCCGGTAGTCACTGCCCCTCCCCCTCCTCCTCCCCGTCCTGCCCCCTCTGGTGTGTCCCACGTCACCCCCCTCCCGTCGGTGGACCCGGTTGAGGAGTCTTCTGACTCTGGTGGCCCTGCTGCGCAGTCCTCGCCGGCCGGCCCTCCACCGGCGTCCCCTCCCCAGTCCCCTCCTCCACCGCCTCTGCCGCCGCTGCAGCCGTCGGTGTCGCTGCCGCCGCCGTCGCAGCACCCGTTTGCTGACTCTGGGGGTGCTGGTGTGGAGTGTGCCCGTGGTAGCCGAGGAGCAGCTTGCGGTCCCGGTGTAGCCGTTGTGCCGCCGGAGCAGCAGTCCCCGCCTGTGTCCGCCCTTCGCCTGCTCGGCCTTCCGTCCCCTGACCCTGCGGCTGTTCCTCTCCGCCCGTCTCCTCCTCTTCCTGTCTACGGCCCTGTGTTCCCTCCGCCGGACTCGTCCTTGGCCCGTCTTCCCCCTCGTTCCCCTCCTGTGTCCCCTCCCCTGTCTCGTGACCCGACTCCTCCGTCGCACGTCTGGTCTCACCGTCCCTCCCGTGCTCGTCCTGCCTCCCCTGTCTTGCACTCCCACCCTATGTTGCTTCGTTCCCACGCGTCTCGTCCTCCCCTTCTGCCGTCGCCTCCTCCGTCCTCCCTTGTTGTTGCACCCCCCCCGCTGTCTGACTACCTTCGTGCCGCTCGTCCTCTTGTTCCCCGGGTCCTTGCCTCTCTCGTTACCGACCCGTCTGTTCCGGTCTCGTGCCTTGACGCTCTTGTAGCAGCGGTCGCTGACTTCGCCTCTACCCGCCGCCTTGACTACGCCACCGCTCTGGTCTCTGACCCTGCCTGTCCTCCGTCTGTCGGGGGTGCTCCTGTCCTTGGCAGTGACGTCCTGGAGGACCGCCAGTTCGAGCTTGCTTTCCTGTCCGAGGCTGCTCCACATCTCTGTTCCATGCTGCTAGTGCCTGAGGGTGACCCAGACGCTTTCGACATCCCGACCCCTCGCACTTACGCTGAGGCGACCTCGGGACCTTGGGCCTCGCAGTGGATAGCTGCCATGGAGCAGGAGATGGCATCTTGGAGATCCACCGGCACCTTCGTCGACGCAGTTCCCCCGCCTGGGGTGAACGTAGTCGATGGCCGCTGGCTCTTCAAGGTGAAGCGCCCTCCTGGAGAGCCGCCTGTATTCAAGGCGCGCTACGTGGCTAGAGGCTTCAGTCAGCGTGAGGGGGTGGACTTCTTCCAGACCTTCGCTCCGACCCCGAAGATGACTACTCTTCGGGTTCTGTTACACCTAGCTGCTCAGCGCGACTACGAGCTTCACTCCCTCGACTTCTCCACTGCCTTCCTTCAGGGCAGCCTACACGAGCAGGTTTATTTGCGTCGCCCTCAGGGCTTTACTGGCACCTTCCCTTCTGGGACCCAGTGGCTCCTGCGGCGCCCCGTCTACGGCCTGCGCCAGGCTCCCCGTGAGTGGCACGACACTCTCCGTGCTACGCTTGCTGACCTGCAGTTCTTTCCGTCTTCCGCAGACCCCTCACTCTTCGTTCGTGCTGGCCAGACTCCGTTCTACATCCTTGTTTACGTCGACGACCTGGTCTTTGCCACAGCAGACAGGGACGCACTGGCCTCCGTGAAGGCAGAGCTGCTGAAGAGACACACGTGCACTGACCTTGGAGAACTGCGCCGTTACCTTGGCTTGCAGATCTCCAGGGACAGAGCAGCGCGCACCATCACCCTGACTCAGTCACACTTGGTGCGCCAGGTCCTTTAGAGATTCAGCCTTCAGTTCTCCTCTGTACAGCCCACCCCTCTGCCTGTAGACCACAGACTCTCCGCTCCAGTTTCTGAGGAGTCGGTTGAGCCCAGCGGCCCCTACGCAGAGCTGGTGGGTTGCCTCATGTACCTGATGACTTGCACTCGCCCAGATCTCGCGTACCCTCTGAGCATCCTGGCTCGCTTTGTGGCCACAGGCAGACACCGACCACAGCACTGGTCTGCCGCTAAGAGGGTTTTGCGTTATCTTGCTAGTACATCGGGCATGGGGTTAGTGCTAGGAGGACGCAGGCCAGTGGTCCTTACTGGACACACCGACGCTTCGTGGGCAGACGACGCCGAGACACTCAGGTCTACCCAGGGCTACTGCTTCAGCCTTGGCTCAGGTGCCGTCTCGTGGAGAGCTACCCGCTCCTTGTTTGTTGCCCAGTCCAGCTGTGAGGCCGAGATCTACGCTGGTGCCATGGCGGCACAGGAGCTCCGCTGGCTGACCTTCTTGCTCACTGACTTAGGTGAGCGGCCTAGCTCAGCCCCGGTCCTGTTCGCTGACAACAGGGCCATGATCCTCCTGTGTCAGGAGCCTCGACTCGAGGGCAGAGCGAAGCATATTCAGCTGCGATACTTCCTCATGCGCGAGCTACAGCAGCGACGCCAGGCTCGCGTAGTACACTTGGCCTCAGGTGCCAACACAGCTGATATCTTTACGAACGCGCTTGCGCCTAAAGATTATCAGCGGCACTGCGTACAGCTTGGTCTAGTCCCTGTAGCCTCTCACTTGCTAGGGCCTTGACTTTGTACTGCCCTTTATATGTATACTCAGACTGGACTTATGTCCTCTCCCTGTGGCTGGACTAGTAGTGCCGCCCTGATCTTGTTCTTGCCTTGTCTGTACTCCTTCTGACAGGTCTTTTAGACCCTTGTCTCAGAGGTTGGACTAGTAGTGCCGCCCTGAGCTGCTTGTTCAGGACATTCCCCTATGCAGTCTAGGGGGTGTGTCAAACATGTGTATTAGTTATGTTTGCATAGACTGTATAGGGTCACCTCTTAGAGGGTACAATACTTAGGTATATCTATCTGTACTCTCCCACTAGTCAATCATTCACTTCTCTCACTCTGATAGCCATGTCTAACGTAATGTGCTAGGTTAAAATCATACCCATAAAAAATATAATCGCCAAGGTTCAATCTTGTCATCTCAGCTCTGAAAATTTTCAGGCCTGATCATTCAGCCTTTGAAAAAAATTACCTTGAAAAAAATTGCAGCTTCCAAAACCCAACCCTGAAAAAACGGGGTCTCCTGATGGGGACATCGTGAGCCAGCAACCCCTCAAAATCCAATTTGAAGCCCTGATACTAATCGAAGGGGTGGGACGATATCATAACCGAGATCCTAAAATGTGTCAGTGTATAGAAAAAATTCCATTCATGAGGCCTGACAGAGGTACTACCTATGAAGTTTTGCAGCATGTGTATGAATAATGCTATTGCATAACAATATGGGCATGTCCTTATGTTGTATCTACATAGCAGTCTATCTACACTACATTCATCAAGTTGTTTCGTCATGTCCGACAACGGGAAGGACTATGCGAATGATTGCAAAATCCAAGATATCTACGTGGTTTAGCAAGTGGATGTGCTGTCTTCAGACAATTTCAATTCAAAGGTTCACGTGAGGGACAGCCACCACCAGACCACCATTGGCCAGTGGTTGGCCCGCCGCGCCAGACGTCAAGCCAATCAGGTTACCGCGGGTTCGTTGGGCGCTTGCCTCGGTGGTTCTGTTCAGTACTGTGTGTTGGAGAAGATGCCGGAATCAACATCGGGTGTGCCCGACCAAACCCATACCCATAACTGTGGTTTGGCTGTGGTTCGGGCGCTCCTTCGTTTGCGACTTCTTCTCAGAAACTTGCGGCGGGTGATTCTCCTGAATTTCGGTTCCGTAACATGCACGTGTCCGCCTCTGCAGCGCCCATTAATTTTTCCGCTTGCGCGCCCATAATTTGAGATGCCCAAAACCGTCAGGGTTTATGAAAGGGGGCAAAAACCTGTTTTTTGGGAGCCATAGTCGAGTTGCAACACCACCTCACACTATTGGTCAACCCTCGAAAGCGCCAATCTTCTTTATCAGTCTTTACACTTCGCCAGTAAGTGTTCTACTTTGTTGTTGATGTGCCCCGCGGAGGTGGGCAATCTTTCGTGCTGGGCAGAAAGGAAGGTTCTAATAAACAATGGAGGTTTTCCAACCTGACGAGGGATTTCCATCCACTGTAGAAGCCCAGCTCCGCCCAGACTGTCCCCTCGTTATAGTGTACTAGCAACGTGGGATTGCACAACCAACGGAATGGGCGCTTGACGTTTTCGGATTGGCTGGCCACGTGAGAGAGGTGGTCACTCGTCTGTCACATCCGAAGGGAAGGGAAACCGCAGATGGTTGGGTTGGGTTGGTTGGCTTCTTCCCCTCCTGCATCCTCCATCCTCCTCCGCTGATCTGTCTGCTGGTCACAGACAGCACGGCACAGCAGCCATTCCCTCTGACTGAGAGCCTCAGCTCAGCAGCCTTCAACAACAGCCTTCAGCAGAAGTCTTTCTCCAAGGTGGTTCTGTGTGCTGTTGCTCCTGCATTTGCCTGTTGCGCCCTATTTTAGACGCCAAAGCAGTTTTGTACTTGAAGGTGGCCCCTTTCACGACACGGTAGCAATTGGTTCCTATTTTGACGTGAATGTCTACAGACATATCCCTGGGTTGCGAAACAGGCTGCAACTACAAGCTATAATATACCAATCTCTCAGTCTCCAACCTTCTTGCCATTAGTAAGAGTTTTAGTAGTTGTTGCTTTATCAGACGCCATGGCGACCCTTTCGCCCCCTCAAGCCCCTCTCACTGATTCCACCGCGAGCCCTTCGTCGTTGTCAGACGTCCCCGCGAGCACCTTCATCGCCTCAATCACCGCCGCGTTTCTTGCCTTCGTCGGCCTTTTCCTGTGCCTTGTCTTCGCTCGCTGGTTCGTCGCTCCAGAGCCAGACCCGGAGGAGGACCGAAATAATCAACGGCGGAGACTTCACGGATTGGATAAAGCACTGGTCGAGAGCTTTCCGACCTTTGTTTTCGCTGCGGAACAAGCCAAGGAGAGCGACTGTGTCAGTTTCCGGCAGTGCTGCATCTGCTTGTCAGATTATGAACCAGGCGATAAAATCAAGTCGCTTCCGGTTTGCGGACACAGATTCCACGAATCGTGTATCGACATGTGGCTGGAAGGGAAGAGGACATGTCCAGTTTGCCGGGCGAATCTCCGACCGAAAAAAAAGACTTCCTCAGCGGACGACGAACACGCGGAACCAGATGTCGCGATCCCCATCGGACAACCTTGCGACAGCGGGGAACAGTGCTGCGACGGAACTCCGTGCGACAGCGGCAATTGTCGTGAGGAAGATTCAAGAAGCGTGGACGAAGGCAGTTTACCAGTAACCAACACAACTTCGCTTGAGCGAATTTCGTCTGCGAGTACGCCGTTGGTGCACCCCTCGCAAATCGTAGTTTCCTGCGAGCCGCCGGAGAGGGATGCGGATCGGGAGTCGAGACCTTGAAGAGAGGTCGTGCTTGCGTCCCCTGATGCAGTGAATGCACAAGGGACGTCGCTGTTACAGTGTTACCATTCACGGACACACAAGGGATGTCGATGTTACCATTCGCGAAAGCACAAGGGATTGTAGCAGCAGTGGGAGAAGATGCGGAAGCAACAGCGGATGAATGCGCCAGACGAAGGAGGTGTACTTGCAGCTCAGCCAATCAGGAGGTTTATTTCTCTATCTAAGCAGCACTCCGCTGAGCAGCAGACAGCAGCACCAAGCGATGCAGGCGGGCAGCAGTCGTTCAGCAGTCGTAGCAGGCGAGCAGCAGTCGTTCAGCCTCTTCAAGGCTGATGTACAGGCAGCAGCTAGCAGCAGCGCAGCAATAAATGCAGCAGAGGGTGCTACGCGGTTCCTCTGCATACAGGGAAAGTAAGTACTACTGTTGTGTGATATGAGGAGTTTCCTTGATGCAGCAAATGAAGCAGCAGTAGCATCAGCAGCAGGACTGATATCAGCAAGGTTGGTGCCAGGACTGGGTTGGATTTTAGGAGTAGATTTTGGAAATGGCAATCTGTTTCTTTAATGATAATGTTGTTCAAAAGCAACATCTTGTTGCTATCTCCCTATCTATTCGTTGATCCGTATATTGTACGAGTAACATTTTGGCTTTCTAGCGGTAACAGCCTACCGGTATAACGAACACTAAAGCCGCGGTCCTTTGGGGTGCGGTGTCACGAGTTACTGTTTTCGTCATATCGCGAACTTCGTAGTGAAGGTTTCCTAGTGGCGACGGTCGCGAAGCCTCGCAGCATGCGAATTTGATGTTCCTCCACCAACCCAACCCCTGTTCTGCTCTGAAATACCACGCCCCTCCCGGTGCCCCCCCACCTCCTTCAGCCGGCCCGCCCCAAATCACGTGACCGCCTTACCTTGCCTACCAGCTCGCACTCCACTACATACGTGGTTGTTGGGACGGAACGTATGGGCGACAAGATCAGGGGAGAATTGCAATTTGGACTGCTCGTCTGAGCACCAGAGCGTGGAACAGGTGTAATTTCTACACGAATTTATAGATCGACAAATTCCTTCCAACAAATTCCTCTCCGTAGACCGAATTCCGCCCGGATTACCAGCGGCAAAGCGTCACAATGTCGTCAGCATCTGCCAATATCACCCGGAATTACGGCCTCGACGCGTCGTCGACAAGCGTCATCATCACCATCTCCGCCCTTCTCCTCTTCCTCGTCTCCGCAATCTCCTGCTTCAGCTTCGTGCGAAACCGCCTCGCCTCCCCCCGCCGCCGCGCGAATCTGACGCGCGAAAACGGCGAGCAGCGGCGAGGCGCGTCGCGCGCGAGGGCCGGAACGCATGGACTGGAAAAGGCACTCGCTCAGTCCTTCCCCACGTTTATATTCTCCCCGGAAACGACGGAGAGCGGTGGCTCTGTAGGCAAGTCGCCATTGAATGGCGGCTCGACATGGGTGGGGAAGGAAGAGGGGGGGAGAGGAAGATGGGATTTGGAAGGGGAAAAGGCTATAGACGGCGGAGGGGGAGGGGGGTTGCGCGAGTGCGCGGTGTGCCTGGCGGAGTACGAACCCGCGGACGTTCTGAAGCTGCTCCCCACGTGCGGGCACGTGTTCCACGTGGACTGCATCGACACGTGGCTGGAAGGAAAATCGACCTGCCCGATTTGCCGTCGAGACCTAGGCTCCAATGCTGGCGTTAAGGGAGGAGAATCGTGGGAAGGGATGGCTGGAGAGAGGGGAGAGCAAGGAGAGAGCAGCGATGGGGGACACGAGGCGGGCCTAGAAGCGGACAGGGGGAGGGCGGGGCAACAAGCGATGGCAGAAGGAGGAAGAGGTTTAGGGGTAGGGGAAGGAGAATCATTGGCAATTTCTGAGGCAGAGAGTGTGGGCAGGGTTCCATCGGTGCAGCAATCTGCATCAGCAGCAAGCCGTGGGGAGAATTCCCCCTCGCTGTGGGAGAGGCTGAGGACGTTGTGGTTGGGAGCAGCTGGGTCTGCTGCCAGGGAGGATGGCCGCTCTCTTGATTCTGTTCCTGTGGGCCCTTCTCCGTCTGCCACAGTGCTGATTCCTCCCGCTGGCGTATCATAGTTTGCACCCGTGCATGTGATACTGTTGCTTTGAGCGGGCAATTGGCGCTGCTGCTTCAGGTACTGAATGTGTCGGTTTGTCTTCCTCTGATGCTGCGCCAGGGTTTTTCAGAATGCGAGTGGGAAATGTGGAAGTGCGCGAAGGAGCTGAACTGTAGGCAGGGGGGGTTGCAAAGCAGGCAGAACCGCAAGGGTTTGCCGTGAGTGCATAACTTTCCAGGGAAGGTGGTAGTGTGTCAGCGTCACATTCCATGGCCCGGATTCAAGAAGCAGCATGGTCGTTGCATGAAGTTGGAAACTGCATGCAGCCAGCATTACCTTGCTGCAATTTACACTCTATTGGATAATCGTAACTTATGCGATAGCAGGGGTATGGGCTGTGTAATGTGTACATAAGATGATGCCTTCAAACATGTGTTGCTTTGCATTTTCAACTAATATGCTGATGCCTAGTTGCTGGACACGTCATGCTAGCTCCGTCGTCTTTGCGGTGATGTGGTGGGAGGGAGTAGCCACAAGGTCCCAGATAACAAGAATCACGTTCAAGCATGCTGCATGTTGAACGCTCTTCCACATTGGCTTCCCCAAAGCATGTTGTTGGGCTGAGAAATGTATTGGGTTGAGAAAAAGCCCTTAGGATCTTTTCAGAGACTAAGTCCCAGCTGTGGAGACTTGAGACTTTGAGTAGTGCAGCGGAAGTTGAGACGGTTGAACCCTTGTACTAGTATGTGAGAACAAGTGATTGATTAAAGAAACAAGCATACAGCAATATATAGAGGATAAGAAAGCAGTTGTAGAATACAGTTACAGGAACGGTTTATCGAGTCGCACAGCGACTCGATTGCCGCTTCGGTTACCATCCGTGATGTTGTAACGGTCAGTCGTAACCTCCAGTTGCGACCTTTCGAGTCTTTTTACATTCTTTGTCCGCCCCCTCGTGCAACCTCCGTTGACTCGCGTGCTCCCCTGTAATCTTCCTCGAGTACAGTGTTATACTTCAGAAACGCTCAAGTCCGTTGAGATATTTCCAACACTCCCCTTCGTTTCTGGAGTGCTGGTGTGTTCAGATCCGGTGACGTTTGTTTGCCCGGTCAGGAGCATGCAGTAGTCGAATTTTGCTTTCGCCAATTTCTTCGTCAGATAATCTGCGGCCATTTCTGTCGTCGGGCAGTAACTGAGTTGAAGTCTCCCCTTCGCGATTTCATCCTTGACGAAGAAGTACCGCATGGCGATGTGCTTGGTTCGGTTGGCGAAGCCGTCCTTGTTCGCGATTTTGATCGCAGATTGGTTGTCACAGAGGAGTGAGAAGGCGGGCAGGGTCGCGATCTTCGCTTCCTCGAGTAACTCCCGCAGGTAGAGTCCTTCCTTGGTCGCAGTACAAAGGGCGATATACTCTGCTTCAGCCGAGGATAGTGCGATTAACTCCTGCTTGTTCGACTGCCAGGAGATAGTTCCGATGGGTTCTAGTCGGTAGATGTAGCCCGTCCTAGATCGTCGATTTTCCCTATCTCCCGCGTGGTCGGCGTCGACGTATCCGAGTAGTCGTACGGACGGTGTTGTCGCTTTGCTGTAGGTAAGCCCGATCGTCGGCGTGGAGACGAAGTAGAGTAGTGCCCGGTTGAGCTCCTCGAGATCTTCCTGTTCCGGTTGCTTCAGATGCGTCGCCAGTTGACTCGCACTATAGGACAGGTCGGGTCGGCAGGTTACTGCTGCGAATAGTAGGCAGCCGAGCTTCTGTTGATACTCCTGGATTTGCTTCGCGGGGAGTTTTGCGGAGGTGTTGTTGTTGTTCCCGTAGTGGTAGGGAGTTGGGACAGTAGTCGGTGTTAGACCGAATTTCTTCGCGACGGTGCCTGAGTACTTTCCAGCGTGTAGGTAGAACGCCGTGTCGTTTTCGTCGACATTCAGTCCTAGGTACTGGGTCACTTCGTCGGACACCGTGAGTGTTAAGTCTTCTTTCAGCTCCCGTTCGAACCAGGTGGCGATGTCGGTAGTGGAGCCGATGTAGAGCAGGTCGTCGACGTAGACGATGAGTAGGATATACTCTCTTCCCTTCTGCAGTCGATACATTCCTTGGTCATGCGGCAGCTGTAGGAATCCGATTTTTGCGAGACGGCCGTGAAGATGCTGCTGCCAGAGCCGCGGGGCTTGCTTGATCCCATATAGGGATTTTGTCAGTTGGCATACTTTCGTGGGGTCGTCGATGAATCCGTGGGGTTGTTCGACGAGAATCTCGGCGTCCACAGGTGCGTATAGGAACGCATTCGTGACGTCGATTTGGCGTAGTGGTAATGTCTTCGTGGCCGCGACGGCGAGTAGGATGCGCAATGAGGTGTGACGGGAGACTGGAGCGAAGGTTTCTGTGTAGTCGGTCCCGTATCGTTGATCGAAGCCTCGTACGACCCATCGAGCTTTGAATCGTTCGATGGAGCCGTCTGAGTTGGTCTTAATGCGGTTCACCCATTTCCCCGAGAGGACGTTTTTCTGTTGATGCTTGTTGCAGGTACCAGTTTCCATGTTTTCCGGTCTTGCAGAGCCTTTAACTCCTTTTCCATCGCTTCCTTCCATTTCGCCTTATATTCCCCCCCCAGAGCCTGCGACAGGGTCGAAGGCTCTCGCGGAGAAGGCGGCGGCGGATGCTGGACGGAGACCCAGAGGCCTAGAATCTGCAGTCCCGTGGGTGTGTGTCGAGGGGAATTTTCATTCCCGGAATAAGCTGCTTCGTCACTGTCTTTTGGGTCAGGTAAGAAGTTGGGACCGATGCGTTCTGAAACATTTGTGTCGACTGGGTGGGGTGTAATGTAACCTTGGTCAGCGAAGTGGTAGAGGGTGTCGAGGTTGTTGCTATCGAGAGGATTGTCTTCGTCGAGTGGAACAGGTACGGAACAGAATGGGAGTGGTCCGGCAGCTTCCGAGGCTTCAGGTACGTCTTCTTCTGCCGCGTCAGCTTCGGCAGCACGGTCGGCGAAGGAACGAAGTCCGGAGAAGCCGTCGGTGGGGTCTTGTGTGTTGGCAATGTTGTCCAGGTAATGCTGCAGCGTCAGTCGCTCGTAGAAGATAACATCACGTGATGCCACGGTATTTTTGTCTTGTATGTCGAGAATTTTCCACGCGTGAAAATGTTTGGCGATGCCGAGGTGTAGTCCCCACCGAGCTCGTTGTGTGAAGCGTCCTGCTCGGGCTGTGTGGGGTCTGTACTGTACCATGCAGCCGAAAACTCGGAGTAATTTTGTGCTGCCCCTTTTTCTTGTCCACAACAGGTGTGGTGATGCGTTGTTGGGAAGCGATGACGAGGACAGCAGGTTGTGCAGGTGAACTGCATGTGTCATCGCGTCGGGCCACAGTGTTGTGGGCAGCCTCATCCCCAGAAGCAGTTTTCGCATCGTCGTCTGCAAGGTCCGGTTCATGCGTTCCGCGACCCCCTGCTGCTGGTGAGGATAGGGCAGAGACACCAGGCGTCTGATTCCTGTTTCCGCCAAATAGGTCCTGAAGCGTTGTGACTGGTATTCCAGTGCACCGTCTGACTGGAAGCTCTTGAGCTTGGTTCCTGATTCTCGTTCGGCGATGGGAAGCCATGTTGTGAAGGCGTCGAAAGCTTGATCGCGCGTCTTGAGATTGAAGTGCCAGACGTATCTGGTTGCTGCGTCGATGAACGTGATGACGTAGTTGAAGTCGGCTTCGGTGTCTTCTCGAGGCATGTTTAAAATATCGCTGTAGACTTTTTCCATCGGAGCGTAGGTAGGTGCGCTTGGGTTGTGATGAGATGGAGAAGGCTGATGGGGAAGATCTGCTTCGGGGCACGTGAAGCACCGTGCTCGTGGTCGTCGAAGTTCTTGGCCGCTCGTCGTGAGGAGGGCGTTGCGTTCTAACACCTCTGCTTGGATTGTTTGTAGTATCGTGCTATTTGCAGGATGCCCGAGGCGTTGGTGCCAGATGTCGTCGGAAGCGCGATGACCCGGCGAGCGGTGGTATATGTCGGCGTTGGAGAAGAACGCGACGACTGTGGCGGGACTTCGACAAACTTCTCGTGTGATGGGCATAAGTTGGTCTGCTTCGGTTGGCGGTCCTCGGATCGCCGGTGGTGGGACTCGGCTGGGTCCTGCTGCTGCTACTGCAGGTGATGGTTTGGTTGGGGTACTCGCGGGTACTTGTCTTTCTAGTCTGATGACTGCTAATGCTCGTGTTCTTTCTGCTGCAGGTATGGTGTTGGAGTGCTAGAAGCCGTTACTGTCGAATTCTGGATCAAGATCCGGCGGGTGTGTCCAGGCGGCGAATGATACGATGCCGTCGCTGTCGGCAGTACCGCGGTCGGGGACGAAGTCCAACACGAAGACGCCGGATTTCAGGAGGGCACGACCGATGAAGAGGCCACCCTTCCCGTGGTATAGCCGAAACTCGTTGGAGTAGGAGTCGCACTCCAGGTGAATCCCCTTGGCCATTAGTTGGCTTACGCTTAGTAGGTTGTATCCCAGGTTGTCGACAATGAGGACTTTGTTGAGCTGAAGTATGACGTTTGTCTCCATGGATTGTAACTGAACCACGCCTTGTCTGTTTGTCTTCAGATTTTCGTTGTTGGCGACGGTGATGACGACGTCGCGGTTGAGGCGTTTCTCCTGTTGCACGAATCGTCCCGAAGAGCACATGTGTTGCCCGCAGCAGCTGTCCAAGAACCAGGTGTTTCGCCCGGTGGGTTCGGCGTTGGCGACCGCAGCATATGTTGGATTGACTTGAAGGCCTTGTGAGCGCGGTGGCGGGAGCTCTTCTTCGTCTGGCGCGTAAGTGGGTGGTGATCCGGGTGCGCAGTTGTCGATGTGTACCATGCAATTGATAATGTTTGGTGTCTGTTGTGCAGATGTTGAAGAGCGTCTTGGGGGACTTGCTTGAGTGGAAGCGACTTGTGGGTCTGCTGGACGGTAAACGCGAGGGCGGTTGCAGTTGACCTTGGAGTGCCCGGAAGTCTGGCAGTTGTGGCAGAACGGCGGCACGAAGGTAAATCCCCTGTTGTCGCGTTCTTGCTTGCCGCGTCGATTGTAGGTGTTGTCGTTTCTGCGTTGAGTGTAGAAGACTAACTGCTGCTGCTTCCTTGGTTGTCTTTCTTCGAACAGGTCCATCTCCTGTTGTTCAGCGTGAAGCTCGGCGCAGAGGTGCATCTCCGAAATCCTTCCGTGGGCGCGAAGAAGCGATTGTGTGGTTCTCCATTCTGGCCCGAGCCCGGCGAGGACAAGTGTCACGAAGCTTTCTTCAGTGATTGTTCCTCCGCACCGAAGCAGGCGGTCGCGGAGGGTCTGGCAGCGACTCATATACTGCATCGCCTTTTCCCCGGTCTTCATTTGTATTGTTGTCAGTTGTTGCATGAGTCTGCTTTGTGTCACGCTGTCGTTTGCTTGGTAGAGGCACTTGAGATGGTGCCATGCGAGTTCCGCGGAGTTTCCATAGCT